TGGGGTTCCTGTGCTGTGGCTTGCTTCTTGCACCCTACAGAGCATGCATGGACTAGGATTCCTCAGTCAGCACCATGCACAGTCCACTTTCCAGATGAGCAGCAGGTTGGGGTGATAGAGTGATTCGAGACAGGATTAGCTGGAATTCCAGGGCTGTTACTCTGATAGTGCGGAGCTATTTATATCTGTGTCTGTCACAAAGCCTTGTGTGTGACCCTGATGAATTACCTAACTACTGTTAAAGCAGAGCTTCTCAGGCTACAGGTGTAGAGACTGTCATGATTTAAGAGAAATTTCACATAGCTAGGTGGTGTAGTGTTGCCTGTAACCTGAGATCTCTGGAGGGCACTAAAGCAGGAGGGTTTCGAGTTCAAGTTCCACCTGGACAGCTTAGGGGAGGAATTAGCAGCAGCAGTGAAGCAGTGACCCTCCCATAGATGGTAAGAAAATGAAAGGAAGCTGGGGTAGGGGTGCACATTGTGATGCCAGCACTCTGGGAGGCTGAGGCAGGAGAACTGCAAGTTCAAGCCCAGCTAGGGCAGTTTAGCAAGAACATGTCTTGAACATTTGAAAAAAAAAAGCAGTGAAAGCTCTGGGGTGGTGCCCAGCGCAGAGGCCCTGGGTTCAGTCTTCAGTGCTGCAGAAAGCAAAAGGAGAGTGGGGTTGCTGTCAAGTAAGAAACGTCCCAAAGGAGGAAGCGGGAGAACTTGGTGATAGGTGTGTGCCGGGTGAGGAGACAGAAGCCCCAGACGGCCCAGACGGCATGTCAAGACAGCATGCCCTTCACTGGCTGTCCTTCTCCGGGCAGCAGCACCAAAGCTTTAAACAGTAAATACCACCTGAAACATGTGCGTTTCTGTGCTGCTGTGGTAGGTTAACAAGTGTTCCGTTCCATAAATATAATCTAAATAAAAGCCTTCACTGTGCTTTAACTTGGCTGAAGGCAATATTAATGAACACATTTAAACTGTGCTTGTCCCCACCAAAATCGCTACACATGCCCGGGTTTAGGCTTCCCACAGGCTTCTTATGGGCTGGGAGAAGCTACTTTGGAGACATAAATGCTTTCTCTGTGCCTTACAAATAACTGTATTCAGACTCACAAAGCCCAAGTGTTGTAAAAATATTAGTATTCAGATGCTTTTGTGTTTTGTTAATGCATTTAATTATGTACAATATAGCTATTGTTTTCTTTTCTCATTTGCATTAATTTATATTAGCCACAGGATATAACGCTGCAATATCAAACTCGTTAGCTCTTTCGATTGTTCCTGCAACTTATAAGTCAGTTTCAGAGTCTTACAAAAACTCCAGCTTTCCACCAACCATAGTGATCTCTGAGTCACTTTTGCAAACCCTTTAGTGCAGTGGTTCATTCGGTAAATATGCTGGAAATACCAGTTTCCTTATGAAGCTGACCTTAGTTGGCCATCGTAAAAGAATGGTACCTTCACCACTGGGCAGCTTATTTCCAAGCACATAGTGTGGCTTGTGAGGAGGCAGGTCTGTTAGGAGGCTGAAGAAGTCCACAGTGATCCTGACTTCCTGCCATCCACCTTACACCTTGACCCTAGCAAACATTTGTAATGTATGACAGAAGTGACATGACTCTGCTTTGGAAATAAGGTCTTAACAGCTGCATTTATCATTCACTGACTTCATGATCAGTGCCATTGATGGGGCAGTTTCTCAATCTGCATGGTGTTATCATAGTCATATATATATAAGAAGCACTCGTGTATATATATGGCTCCAGGGCAGTGGATGCTGTATTTATACCCGTCTCCACCAATATCCATAACAAAGGAAGCAGCCTGCCCAGGCTCTCACAGGAGCTGCCCCCACAGCCGGTGGCCTGGCTCCACACAGCCCCATCTGGGACCTGGACAGACGAGCCAGGATCGCTGTATGTACTCAGGAGAGGCAAGCTTTTCAGTTATGTGGAGACCACGGTACAGACATGAAGTGAGGGAAGGAGCCGCACTGGGGTCCGAGCCGGCCCACCTGTCCTAGTGTCACCTCCAAGGGCAGCAGCCGGAAACGTGCAGCTGCTGCTGGGGAGCTGTGCAGAGGAGAAAGCAGAAGACCTGAGTTCCGGTCTGGTGGTGCTCCGCTCCTGTGTGCGTGTGTTGTGTGGATGTGAGTTCACCTCTGAACATGACCAGTATGAGCAGTACCTGCCTCACTTGGCCAGAAAGTTACTGCTAAGAGCAGATGAAGTCACCACCAGACACCTTTCCTATGGGTTCATCTTCTCTGTCACCAGTGCCACGATGTTCACAAGTGTGAAGACTTCGTTAGGAGACAAAACCCTCCCAGATGTTCAGCTAAAACTTAGCATCCCCAGGTTAATGTCTTCGCAACACATACAGAGACCCTCGGAGTATTGCTAGTGTGAAGTCAAAGTGCATACAAATTTTTCTCAGTAATGTGTTTGTGACCCTTCAGTTCATGGGAATTGCGCAGAAAAGTGGGCACAGCGGGCCTGAGACTCTCCTTCCTAGGAAGCCTGCTTGCGAGCTCGGCCCTGAGTGTGATGTGGGTGCTGGCGTGTCAGGACTGCTCTGGTCCCGCGTCCCCTCCTTGAGAAGATGGCCACTCTGTTTTGTTTTGTTTTGTTTTTTGTCACAAGGTCTCACCGTGCAGGTCAGGCTGACCTTGAACTCACAGCAGTACCCTTGCGTCAGCCTCCCAAGTGCTGGGATTCCAGGCATGCAGCACCATGCCCCGCTAAGGTGTTTACACACTCTGCCTGAGCTGTTTGTCCACCTGATGTTGGTCAGTGCTGAACATGCTGTCTTGTTCTAGGAATCTGAAATCTTGGTCCATGCCACACAGAGAGCCTCTGTGTTCAATCCCAGTGCCAGCCCTAGGGTTGTGTCACCGGCAGAGACCATGTCATTCGGGTAGCATGTTGCTAGGGAGATGCAGCATGGCCTGCGTGACCTGTGAGGAAGGCGCGCACTGCACCCTGGTGAGTTGGCACTGTGTCCTCTGCAGCAGCGCACCCAGCCGACAGTAGGTTGCACTGTAGTTATTCCTCCAGAGTCATCAACCCCAGGGTGGCCTTGGGGCCCAATACAGCTGAGCGTGTCCTTTGAGGAGTCCAGTGTCCCATCCGCAGTCTGCCTACTCTCAGCCTTTCTCCTGGCTTTTGGGGTACTTTCCAGCTTAGTGCGTTTGCTCCCCTGGAATATGAACTCAGAGGGTCTGTTGCCTGGCCCCCCAGCCCGAGTGCCTTGACCATCTCAGGATGGACCCCACATATGCGTTCCTGCACCACCTCTTCCCGGGTGCAGCCAGGGACTTTCACACTCGGGTTCAAAGCAAACTTCCCACACCCACTGCCCCCACACTGCCCAGGAGGAAAGAGGGGGCTGACTGTGCCCGATGCTTCCTCCCACAGCCTCCACCCCCTGGCTCTTGGTCTCCCACCCTGCCCTCTCCCAGCTGGTCAGGGCCTGCTCTGCCATTCTCCTCACGCCTGGAGCTCCATCCTCCCCTCGGCTCAGGCTCAGCGCAGCACAGACCAAGCATGGAGCTCATTGCTGCCAGGCCTCCAAACTGGCACCCTGTGTCCTACCTCCAGCTGCTGCCCCCAAGGACCTTCCTGGTACCCTTCATGTGCTCTGTTCTTCACTTCCCCAGCTGATGAGAAGTGTGTGCCTGTGACAAATGACCACAAGCTGGGGGCTTTAAAAGAGTGGCGATTTATTCTCTTACTGATGTGGAGCCCAGAAGTCCCAAGTCAGGTGTCTGAAAGCTGCAGGGAGGAATCTGCTCTGTGCCTGGTGGCGCCAGTGTCCCGTGTGTCCTGTGGCTTCCTGTGGCTGTGTCTGTGTCACGCAGCCTCTGTCTCTGTATGACCTCTTCACATCACTGTGCATTAGTGAAGCTGAGTCCACAGTATCCTCTTTTATAAGGACACCAGTTATTGAGTTAAGGTTCACCCTACTGCAGTATGAGCCCATCCTTAATGGATCACATTTACAGAGACCCTGTTCCTAAATCAGGTCACAGTTATGGTAGGAGGGAAACACTTGGACATACCGTTTTGAGGAACACTGTTCATATCCGAGTCCCCTGACAGAATGTGAGCATTATGAGTGCAGTCACCACCCCTCACCACTGGGCTCAGACGCCGAGAGAGGAGTGTATTATAGAGGTGTTTGTTTAGTTATGGACGGGTAGATACTAAAGGGGACGGAAGAAGGGCGAGCAGGTGGGTGATGGATGGATGGATGGATGAATAGGTCGGATGGGTGCATAGATGGATGGATGGGTAGATGCATGAATGCTGTTGCAGGAGCAAAATGGGTGCGTGCCCTCTGTAGGAGAAATGCTCTTTATAGTAGAAGCCTATGAGGTGGTGCATGCCACATGAAAACCTCACTCCGCATTAGGTGTTCTAATCATTGCTGCTTGCAGAGAAGCCAGATCCAAATGTCCTGAATAAGCAGTTCTCCCAGGCGAGAGGCCTCCTGTGGAATCTTGGAGTGGAAGAATTCGAAACGCCCCGTTTCTTTAACGCATGAATTGCCAAAATATGTGGGAAGTTTCATTTTTACCAACATCACTGAAAATACCTTTTGTCAAATAAAAGCCCCGGCATGCCCATCTTGTGCACCAGGGGCCTTTTAGGTAACAAATGGCCCATGAGGGCCTGTAGTCGTGGGCTTTCCGGGTACTGTGGGCACTGCTGGGCAGTCGTGGTGTGACCACTGCATCTGCTGAGCCACCTGGCTAGGAAGGCCGGGTGTGTCTTACCAGGATGCCAAGCTTTGAGGCACTGAGTGACCTTGGGGGCTCACCAAGGACTTCCTCCCTTTCCAGTTTGGTTTCTGTCACAGACCGTCTGCAGAGGCCATGGAGTTCCGCGCGCACTGCACACATTCTGTGGGTTTAGAGGAGACAGCTAGTTCAAGACCCCTGAAGAAAGCAGCTTTGTCCTGCGCGATGCTTTGCACAGGCCCGTATTCATATCTCATTGTTGTTTGCAGGAGAGGCAGATGCGAACCAGAACAATGGGACCTCGTCTGAGGACACAGCGGTGACAGACTCCAAGCGCACAGCAGACCCAAAGAATGCCTGGCAGGGTGCCGACCCAGCTGACCCAAGGAGCCGCCCCCACTTGATCCGCCTCTTTTCCCGAGATGCCCCAGGGAGGGAGGACAACACCTTCAAAGACAGGCCCTCTGAGTCCGACGAGCTCCAGACCATCCGAGAAGACACTGCAGCAGTTTCCGAGAGCCTGGATGTGATGGCGTCACAGAAGAGACCCTCCCAGAGGCACGGATCCAAGTACCTGGCCACAGCAAGTACCATGGACCATGCCAGGCATGGCTTCCTCCCAAGGCACAGAGACACAGGCATCCTTGACTCCATCGGGCGCTTCTTTGGCAGTGACAGGGCTGCGCCCAAGCGGGGCTCCGGCAAGGTGAGCTCTGTGGAGTAGCGGAGCTGTAGCTTAACTGGAAAAAGGAAAGCAGAGGTGCAGGTGGCCCGAGGCCAGGATGGAGGCTCCACGGTGCCGGGCCGGCGGGGAAATGCATGTGAGCCCGGGCGTGGGCCTCGGCTGCTGCTTGGGCTGTTTCATCTAATTCCCCTCTCTCCTCTCGCGTGGGACTGTGATCAGGGTGTGGTCTCAGGTGCCCTGACATGGGCACTGCCACGAGCACCCCATTCTAAGGTCTCTCTTGCCCTGTGCTTGGGGCTTTGAAAGCTTCTGCCCCTGCGCCGCCCTTTTGGGTTCAGGTTGGGTTTTGCTCCTTTTTCCTAAGTCAGTGCTGTTGCCTCCCTGTCGCTGTACAGTGACTTGACTGGGGTGGAGGAGGCTTGTGCACACTCCGCAGTTTCAGTTCGCCTCGAGTAAGCTTTCTCTTTTATCTGAGTCCAGTGGAAGGGGGCGGAGGGACCATGAATGCCTGGGAATCCAGTTCCTATTATCTTGTGATGACGTTACAGTGTGTACAGAACCTTAGAGGCTTTATTACTCCAATGCAAGTGTGCCAGGGATAACAGTGTATCACAGGGAGGCTGTTCTGGTGGCCAGAGTGGACGGGAGGAGTTGACCGCGGCTGCAGTGTGCTAAGTAGCCGGTCCCAAGGCACGTTCAGACTGCAGGTGCACGGCGTGCACAGGAGTTGGAGGTGTGGGATGGCTGGGTAGATTCAGAAAGAAAGGTGGTTTTTTAAAAAGCCCTGCTTCGGTGGATGTTCTCAAAAATCTGTTAAAATTTCTTGCACCTCTGTATTATACTTACTCTGAAAAACCTTTCAGGATGTAAGAGGCTTTTAAATAAAGTGAAGAAGCAGCATTGCAGATGCATCCTCAGAACAACCCCAAGGTAGCTGATAAATGATCCCGTTCCTAGAGTTCAGTCTTCGGGTCCCTGGTGACCATGAAGTGCAGCACAGATGGCAGCTCCACCTGCTCTGGGGGCTTCAGAGCTCCCAAGTGGCCACGACTGCCGGCCCTGTGACCAGGGATTTCAGGTTGTGGCACTGGCCGTGCCTTACCTGTGAATGACACTGGGTATGGCTAAAGTACTTAAAAATTTACATTCTGACCCATTGCTTCAGGCCTGAATTTGTGGACAATGTTTTACTTTCTGCCAGTACCTCCTCACCGTGGGATGTCAGGCACCTGCCTGCTTTCTAATGCTTATGTCAGTGGGATGCTTCTGCAAACTGTCAAGCCACAGTATGTCTTGGTGACTCCTGAACCCCCAGTGAAGTCTTGCTGTTATGCCAAGCACCTGGTGCTCAGGGAAAATAGCCAGTTGTGAAAATTTAAGCTATTCTGTTCAATTGAAGGAAAAGAAAAACATGTTAAAGCTGAGAAGAAGAAAAAAGATTAAATGGCCAACTAGCATAAATTCCATACCAAGCTTCATTTCAGTGATAATGGTTTATGTTGAAATAAAGTTGTGAAAGCAGTTGTATCTACACTGTGACAGCCTCCAAGTGGAACTGTGTATGCTTATGTGTGCCTCTTCCTTCTTGCAAGACTACAACTGTCATTGTTTTAAATCTCTGATAATGCTGGGGATTTAGCTCAGCGACATAAGCATCTGCCTTGCAAGTGCACAGTCGTGAGTTCGATCCCCAGTACAAAAAAAAGTACTAAATCTCTGATACTTCAGTATTTTCAAAAAAACTTCTAGGCTCAGATGCAGTTAAATCACTTTGCAACTAGCATGTCTAGGTTATCAAGGATCCTGAAAAGAAAAAAAAATTCCTAAGATTTTTAAAAATAATAATTTTTAGGTAATTGTTTTAAAATTTTAAACCATCAGTTCTTTCCATTACTGAGTGTTTTCAATATAAAAGATTTTTAAATGAACAGACTTGCCCTTGGGTGCCAAAATAGTCCCTTAACATTTATGCATTTGTGATAGTAAAGTGTCTTGTTCCAAACATAGTCCAGCCAGATGCAGTGTCCCCTGCTGAGGGGAGGGTGACTGACGATGTGTGTCCAGCTCAGCTACCTTAGTAAGATTTATCTGCTTGTGGTAAACACTGCAGTCCCGGGGTAACTCACTCCACACCCAGTGACAAACCCACAATCTCCCTGGAAGACTGGGGTACTGATTGGTGTAGGCTGCTATGGAGTAATTTTTAAACGTTGATTTCGATCCTAATTTTAGTTTGCTGTGTATATAAATCATCAGGAGAGCTCTCATTTTAATATGCTAGGAAAGTCCTTCAGCAGACTTCAGGAGCTTGCAAAGGCAATCTAAAGAGCACCTGTTCCTGGAACTCATGGCAGAAGCTGGCGTCTGGTATCTCCATCCCTGAAACAGCTGTCTGCTGCACATAGGGTGCTGAAGGGGGCCAGGTGCCAGCGCCTCTGTACACGCTGGGGAGGCAGTGTCCACTCATGTCTGGAACAGGGTTTCCGTGGCAGAATCCACAGGACTCTGAATGCCCCCACCTTCCATAAGGGGGCTGCTCGCCCCACCACCTCCCCAGGCACGTGCTGGCTCCGGAGGCCACCGCCCTCAGGCCAGGGCATGGAATGCAGTGACAACACCAGCCTTTGTGTGGCCGGAGCTGACATTCAGGGAAGGCGCACTCAGAATTCCTTGAGGAGGCATATTCTGAGAGCCATGGATGAAAAGCCATTTACAGAGAACGTTCTCCTTTGTTGTCCAGAAAGAAAGGAGGCTGTGTTGTGGCCTTTAAGGAGCAGGTTTTCCGGTTCCCTGGAATGTGGGGCCTTATGGGGAAAGGCTGGGGGCCGTGTCAGAGGAGGGTGGCCTTGAGGCAGAGACTGCACACCCTGGCTCGGTCAGCACAGCTCGTACTGAGTCTAGCTTGCAGCAGGTTCCTTCCTGGGTCAGCGGTGACCCTGGAGCTAGTGAGGCCTGCGAAGCCGGCAGCTTGAAACTGTGAACTCTGGACCAAAAGAGCTGAGGCGTGCAGGGGTCTTTAGTTCATACAGAAGGACGCCGGCAAAGAGGAGGTAGTCCTCCTCGGGCACTGCTTTCCAGCTAACCCGTACCGTGGCTTTGCCTCCTTCTCTCTGCTTATTTACATTAGAAACTGTATTCACAGCCTGCTGGTCTCAGCACGTCCGTAGCATTCAGGTGTCTTACATGCCTCCAGCTGTCACAGAGCAGGGTAGGAACAGGTCATTCAGGGCTGTGGGGTAAATTAACCAGAGGGTGTGTTATCTGATGTTTTTTCATTGCATTTTAATTTCCTTAAGCATCATTACTTCTAAAGTAACTTCATGCTCCATTGTTAACATGGTACCCTCACTCTGTACCTGTGTTCTGTGATCTCATGAGACTGCCGTGTGTCGGTGACACGAAGGACGTAGTAGAGGGCAGCAGAGTCTGTGTGCCCCTGGGAGGGCACGTGTCGGGCCCCACAGGCAGGACCAAGAGTGGTGGCTTTGCTTGAGGGGTGCGGGAGACTTGCAGAGGAGCATGTGACGTCTCCTCATAAGGCTACCTAGCCCAGCCCCTTACTGGAACATTCTGGCAAGCCTTGCGGCCAGAGATCCTCTAGAGAAACCATAAATAGAGTGGGCCATGTTCATTTCTGTACCCACACGGATGCTTTCCACCATTTCCTGTAGAGATTCCCTCTGCAGTGTGTTGGCCCTGAGCAGTTACTCACAAGCCACCTACTACATCCTTCTGCTGTCTCCCGGGACACCATTTCCACTGTTACTGCCGCGGGAGGGACTTTGTTGGGACCCACGTGCCTGTATTGGGAGTGGTTCGCTGCACCTTCTGTATAAGTGATACATTTGTAAGTTATGTCTGTGTATTTAATGATGAGTGCCTCCGGCAGTTGTACGACAATTTGATTTTGTTATAAATTTCCCCTTTATGTGTATTTCTACCTTTTTATTCCCTTATTAAACAATTTAACAGACCAACGATGGTGTACTAATTGCATGTAAAGTTTAATCAGTTGCATTACGCAGTGGACATTTCCCTGGCTCGTGACAGGACCGCAGGTAAGTGTGAGCACCTGCACCCCTTCTGTGTCTGTGATGAAGGTCACAGTCTCCGGCTCCTCTGCTGTTACCCACAGAGACATTCTCTGTCACTGACCGCATGGTGTTCTGGTGCTCCCATTATGGCTGTTCTTGTTCTGTTTTTAGTGCTTCCCGCAGAGCACCACCCGCAGATGCCAGTGGGAGGGTGGTGCTGTGTAGATGTGCCCAGAGCATGAGCACATATCCATATCCCCTGAGTGAAGTAGCACACCGGTGGCCGCCAGTCCTGTGCTCTGCGGTGGGGCTGTGTTCAGAGTGACAGCGCAGCCTCAAGAGCAAACAGGAGCTGCACTGGCTCTTCTTAAGGGTGATAGTGCGTAGACGGAGGCTGGACTGGGGGGCAGATGGGTGAAGGAGAGTGAAGACGCTTGGTTAACGCGGGCAGAGGCTGCCCGCCCACCGTGGGACCTCCCTGCTGGCAGGGCTGCTCCTCGCCCCTCACTCCGCCTTCCAAACTCATCTCCATTTAAGGCACTGATTTCCCCATCATTGACTTTGCCTTTGGGAAAAGCATTAGCTCTTTGGTAAAAGGCAATTCTGACTGGTTGATGTGGAGCTTAGCTTGCTATCTGAAAAATGTAAGTCTCCATCTGATATCTGATGGAAATCTCTTGCCAAGCTCTGACTTAACAGGTTAGGGTTCTTTCTGTTTTATCCATGAGTACCCTCTTACATGCCCTGAAATCAGTCTACTTCATACAGTAGTACAAAGAAAAAGAGCTAACGAGAAAATGAACTCTTCTGGATGTGACAGTAGAGGGGCAGAGCTAGGTAAAAATGTCTCACTGTGCCCATCTTCCTGAAGAGGGCACTGTATTATAGAAGTGTCCAGAGACCATTTTGCTCTGCTGTTGATGAGTTCCTAGCATGGCGGTGCGCATATACCACCAGTTGAGGACACTACACCTGATCAAGCCAGGACAATCTCCGGCTTGTCCATGGGGCATCCTCTAAGATGTATATCCAGGGTCTCTCTTGTAATGCATTGCTCATTAATTAAAGCTGCCTGGCTTTAATTAATCCTTGCTAGTGCAGAAGCAGCCCTTCTCACGCACATAGGAAGCATCATTTCAGATGCACCACTGAGCACACAGTCACCACAGATTTACCTCTGCGAACTCCAGTGTGACAGCTTTCATTAATACAGTGATGCCTCAGTTCACAAACTCAATTGTTTCAGTGACTCTGGTTGCAAATCAAGTTGAACAAGAAGAACCACATCAAATTCGCTGCTTAGATTCAGTGTTAACCTTTGAGAAAACTTTATTCGGTTTGTGAACTGAAGTACCACCGTACTTCTGAGTATGCTAACATTTTGGATCATGCTACTTAGTCACCTCCAAGCATACACACCATGAATTTGTTCAGAAAGAATCCACTTCATCTGTAACCAGTATAAGAAATCTCTTAAAACTCATATTATTGATTTTATCTTTTTACCATGTCTTCTCTTTTCTGTCTGTCTGTCTCTGTCTGTCTGTCTCTCTCTCTCTGTGTCTCTGTCTCTGTCTCTCTCTGTGTCTCTGTCTCTGTCTCTGTCTCTCTCTCTCTCTCTCTCTCTCTCTCTCTCTCTCTCTGTCTGTCTGTCTCTCTGACTCTCCATTTGATGAGAATAGTCAAAAACTAGGCTGGCTTCCCACAGGTCACTTTCCTTGGTCCTGTAACACTGTTCTTTAGTCACATCACTTGAACTTCGTTGATGCAGCGTAGACTCTCATAACTAATACAATGAGGAGAGTCTAGTAAATTAGAGGCAAATCCTATCTTCCAAGATGTAAGCAAAATGTAATGAGTTGAGTTGACATGTAATTTATGCCATAGAATATTAAGTTCCTAAACTTCAGCATAACCAAGAAGAACGTCAGCAAGAAAATGTCACTCCACGTGACCGCTGGAGTGACTCTGAACACTGCTGCTTCTCAAGATGCTCCCTTGTACAGTACAGAAAGATTAAAAAGGCCTACAGTGACAGCCACAGTTAACCCCCACAGAGCCCCGGTGAGCTATGCTATAAATTCAATGCACAGCTAACACACTTGTTACAAAAGAAAATGAAACTGCAAATAGAATTGAAGGTGAGCTGTATCCATTTCCTCGGAGACTTCAAGAAATCCACTGTGCATTCTGCCCAGACCAGGGAATACGCTCTGTCCTCGCCCTCTCAGAAATTGCTTGTGTCCAGAGCCTGCCTGCTGCAATGTTAAGAACATGTAGTCATATAATTTGGTGAAGGACCCCAGATAGACTGTAGAAGAGGTCCCCTTTTCCCTGTCTTTTACTCCTTTACCTCTGGGTCCTGGCCTTCCTGCCTCCCCGGCCTCTCCGGAGCCTGCCCATCCGTCCACCCACCTCCCAATCCTCCTGAGTACGCTCCCTGCATCCTGCGTGTCCCACTTGCTCCACCCTGCCTGGGCCTGGCCCTGCTCATCCCAGAGGAGCTTTGCTGGAGGACTGGGGTGTGTGGGCGGTGCCCACCCTGGACTCACGACGCCCACTCTGTATCCTCGGCAGGTACCCTGGCTAACGCAGAGCAGGAGCCCTCTGCCCTCTCATGCCCGCAGCCAGCCTGGGCTATGCAACATGTACAAGGTAAGACGTGGTCGCCGTCCCCTCCTGCCTCTGCATGTGAGGTACTCTATGCACAGGGTCCTCAGAGACAGTCCCATCAGCAGGGCAGGCGGCCTTCCAAGGGTGCTGCTCTGTCCAGTAGCACAGCAAATTTTCTGGGGCATCTTTGAGTTGTGGCAAAGCTAGGGAGATGGGTCCTGAACCCCAGAAAAAGGATTATACAAACCAACCAAAGGAAAACGGGGGAGAGGAGAGGAGCTGCCTTCCTGTGGAAGCCTCGATGCATCCGGCAAGATGGGGCATGCGATCAGGTAAGATGATAGAAAAGCCTGCAGTGTGACCAGTGGTGTCCCATGGCCTGGGGGACGCTGGCATAGGAGCACTGGCCTGGATATGCCACTCACACATCCTTGCGCAAGGTGCTTTGAGAATCACTACCTAGTAGGTACTTAGCACTCACTAAGAGTCACATGAATTGGCCTGGGAAAGTACCATCCCAGGGGCTCTGTCCTCGCCGCATCAGCCATACTTACATAGGATGAGGAGTACCACTGGGCTTGGCCTCACTTGATGGACACCGCTGCCTCTCAGAGCATGTAGATACCCCGGTGGTGTCAGGGAAGGCAGCAGGTGGACGCCCTAATGCCATCCCTGACTCCATAGTGAGGAGTGTTCCAAGAGAAGGCCATAGATTCACCTCTGGGATAAAAGCAGTCACCTTGGGAAAGTGTGCAAGGCCAAAGCACACTGCCCAAAGCCTGAAGGCAGAGCTCATTCTCACACGCCCCAGGGAGCACCACAGTGCACACATGGCAGAGGGAGGGTGTCCCAGGAGCCAGTGGCTGGGGACCCTCTCTGTGGAGGGTAGAGGTGGGCACAAGTGAGCGTGGGGGTGTCCCCACAGCTGAGCACTGCAGAGCTCCTGGACAGAAGCTTTCACCCGTGAGCCGGGCAGGACCCGGTGCTGCTGCCAGGCCTGGACTGGCAGGGTTGAGCAGCAGAGGCCAGGCCAATGCTGGGGGCACCAGAGAGCACCCCAGGGTCCAAGACTCCAGAGCCTTGGAGGTGCCAGACCAGACAGTGTCAAGGCAGATGGTGGCATGAGACCGTGAGTAGTGGTGGGGCTGAGGTTGACTAGAAGGAGACCATGGCTCGTCCTGGGAGGGACGCCATGCCGGGCACCTGGGTCTGCACACCTTGAGCTGTAAGAGCTGTCTCAGTGACCTCATCCTGAAATCATCTCTTCCTCTGGGCAGTTCCTGGGATCCCTTGTCCCTGCAAAGCCAGGCTTCCCTGCTGCCCACCTGCACCCGAGGCCACCTGTGTTCTCCAGACGGGGGTGGGCCAAGGCACCCAGCGCTGGCTTCAGGCCTGGGAGTGTAGGGCTTGTGAGAAGGGTGTTTTCAGTTCTGCAGCCAAAGTGTGTGGCCTCATTGAGGGGAACAAGACTGCCCCGTGCTCCAGGAGCTCAGCTTGGACATCACTGTTGGCCCCCTGTGCCCCGCCTCCATCTGTGTGAGGTGCATTGTTGTTCAGAACACAGACCCCTCAGAGATGGAGGTTCTGCCAGGAATGCCGTGATGTTGCAGAGTGAATCCTAGTGAGAGACTTTCAACAGAATGTTTGATTTTTATCCTTTAAAAAGTTACTTACAGACCCATAATCCCAGCTACTCATGAGTTGAGAGGCAGGAGGACTAAAATTTCAAGACTCTTTCAAAATTTAAAAAGTATAAAAAAGGCTGGAGATACTGCTCAGATGTAGAGCGTCCCTGGGTTCAATCCTCAGTACTACTCCAAAAAAATGAATTAAAAAACTATTTACCAAAGAGAGAAAACAGCCATCCTGGTCTCTAAGACTAGCCCAGACAGATATTTTTAAAAGCATTTAGAAGCCTGTCCCAGACCTCATCCTTGCAGAGATCTGGTCTCGAGAGGAAGTGTTTCAGGTGGTAGACACCGCAGACCTCCGGTGCTGAACTCTGTGTTCACCATTCCTTTCTGATGCCCCAGTCTGGTCCAGTTAGGGTTTGCCTTGGCTTGCCTGGTCACACATTTGAGTTTTACTAAAACATACTGAAATGGTAGGGGGCTGGGTGTGTGCTATTGGTATGTCCACTAAGCAAGGGAAAAACAACAGCATCACCTCAGGTTGCTATCAGTCCAGCAGGATTGTTCCTGATAGGCAGAGAACTCTTCCAAGGCCTCTGTGCGAGGCCACCCAGCCAGACTGGTCCACTGAGGCAGGACCAGGGGTACCCGGTGGAGGTGGCTTCTCTGAGAGGTTGGAAAGTCATTGTCACCTTCCTGCTGTCCAGCCCATGCTACTCCCAGGCCAAACGAAGAAAAGCCTGGAGTCTCCCTTCTGCTCTTTGGCAAAGAGATTTGATGATGCTCAATGTCTTTCCCCAGCATGGGAGATTTCTTATTATTCCAAGAGAATGGCTACAATTCCTAGAGAGTGAATTTAACAGCATCGGCCACAGGGAAAGCATTGCAATGGTGGAAATATATACCAAATACATTTATTGTCTCAGGATCTATGATGAAGGACTTTGAAACAGGCCCACAGAGGACACAGAGCCACTGGGTGGCAGCCACGACTGGTCAGCAGCTTACAGTAGAAGGAACCAAGGCACCCTCCCCTTAGAGCAGACTGTAATGAGCTCCGCTGAGCCCACGGTCCCCGCTCTGGTGGGCCCAACACGCTGCCTTCTGGCTCTCTGCAAAAGACACCCGTGGAGGAGAAAGATCCACCTCTGTGAAGTTGGGTGTCGCATGACAAGGAAAAGATTGGTTCCAGTGCCACAGGGTGCCTCATTAGGCCTCTGGGAGAGGAGTTCTTCCATTCCGAGACTCTGCATTCGCCTTGGGACCAGCACTGCCTGTGTTTCTGGGGCCTGGAGGGCAGGTGTAGGGGCGCACGCACAGAGACATGGAATAACATTTGAGAGTCAAAAATAGACATCTGGGAAGAAAGAAGGTGGGACACAACTGGTGAGAGATGGACAGACGTTTCCCAGGCGCCCACCTGGAGCCGTCACTCCCTCCTACATTCTGGATCTCAGGGCCGCAGGCCCAGGCAGTAGTGAACACCAGTGGAGGGGTCACTGAAGAGAAAGTCCAAAAGGAGCCCAACGACGCCACGAGCACTGTTCCTACGAAACTGGCCAGAAACCCAGAGACCTATGGTGGGCGGGAAGGGCTGCCCCCGCTGTCCACGTGCCTCAGCCACTGACCTCGGCTTCCCCTGGACAGAAGTCTGCTCTCCCTGTAGATCCCACCTGCCTCAGAGGAGCCTGGCCACCACGACCATGAGCATTCCTAGTGTTTTCTGAAATGTTCAGGCTGAACCTGAGCTGCCAGCCGTGCCCGGTGCACAGCGCAGTGTGGGAGGTCTCTTTGTATCATGGGAGAAGGTGGTGAGTGTCACAGGCACGTGGTTTGGGGCTCATTCTGCTGTCCTGCAGCGTGTGATGCTGGGCCTCTGTTTGTCTTCTCTGAGCTGCCGCTCCTCACCCAAGAGCCAGCAGTGAACCCAGGTGGTCCTCTGCCCTTATGGCTCTGGTGAAGAAGGAGATGGACGCGCTCAGAATGGACCCAGCCTGAGTGTGCACGGGGATGGGCACACCCTGCCTCCACGCTGCCGGGAACTCCAACTCTCCTAGAGAGATGCACAGCCACTCATGGAGCCTGGGACAGAGGTAGAGTTTGCCTAGAAGGTCCGAGAGGGTCCAGCGCACTCCCTGGTGCCAACCATGGCCTCTGGGCAGTTGCACCTCTGCTCTGAGGCCTCAGTTTCCTCAACTGTAAAATGAAAGTGCCACACCAATGACAAGTACTGCAGACGTGTCCTTGGAGACGCTGGTCCTGCTGATCGCTTTCTGTGCACCTGCTTTGGATCCAAAGCCTGTTGTTGCTTCACGGTCCCGTCCAAAAGAAAATGTCCCAGCACCACCCCCCAGCTTGCCTGTGCACCCACACCCTGCAGGTGGGCACTGAGTTCTGAAGCCATGAGAAAAACATCCTGGGTCACCGCTGCTGGCCAATGCCTCTGCTGTAACCCCAACTCCACAGTTACGTTAAAGAGGTTTTCTTTGAAATTAAAAAGTGGGTAATTGGAAGCGAGGGGCAGAAGAACCTAAGTGAGACCAACACCAGGCCCTGCTTCCGCCATATTGAGAAGGAAACAAACCAAGGGGCGCGGCTCGGCACTCAGCACAGGGGCCATTGCCAGGCCCCAGCACCAGCTCCCAGGTGTCCTGAGGTGAGATCGGCTGGAGCTCCTTCACCAGGTGTGTGCTGCGCAGGTCCCAAACAGGAGTGGAGATGTTGCCTGACCTGTCCTGAAAACCAGAGCTCTCAGTGGCTGTCAAAGGTGTGTTGGAGACTCCTGGGAAAAGTGATCCTCAGATCAAGCTGCCCAGGCTGCTTACGTAGGTCAGATCTGCCAGGGGAAAGTACCCCACACTGCCATGGCTTGCTCATCAATCTGATGACAGCTGGCAACTCCAGTAGGCTGCTTGTTCACCCCCATGGCTCCTCTTCTGGATGTGAGAGCTGGGCCCTGGCATCACAGTTATCTCCTGGGGTCCAGTAGCCATGGGCTTGGAGAGCACATGCTTCCTTGGCAGAGGCACAGGCTGCTGCTGAGCCCAGCCCTGGCTTTCTGTGCCCAGGGCTGAGCTTAGACACATTATCCAGGGAGAGCTCTGCTGCCAGCCCCTGTGTACCAGAGAGGGCGTAAAGCCCTCCCCCCAGGAGGCCAGTACAATTCTGTCCCCTTATTCCTAGGTAAAACAGCAGAGAGAAAAACAGAACCAGACGTGCCCCCAAACACACTGCAGTAGGATCCCAATTGCTCTCTACTCCCAATTTGTTAAAAATTAAAATTCTTACACTTGGAAACTGGTCGCCCCAGTCAGGTGGCAAAGCATCAGCCTCCAAGTGGAACTGCCATAGGACCCGATGGCGTCAGCTTCCTCCACACTGCTGGTGCCCTCAGCTCCCAGCATCTGAGAA